CCTATCTCCACCCCTCTGTGCCATGCAGAGCCCGCTGTTCTGCTGCATTTGTTATTGTTAAAGAAGAACTCCAGGATTTTTAAAAGTTAACCTTTGCAGTGGGGCTACCCCCGCAGTGCAAGGGTTAACAGCTTGTTTTTCTCTAGGGGAGATAATGAAGAAGAAATACTCACCTGATCCTTGGTCCTGCGGCAGTGACTGCTCACCTCTCTCCCCTCCACGCCGGCTATGGTATATTCCTCGGCCTCTTCACATTTAATACACTGTATCAGACTTGATGATGTCATAGATGCTTAGACCTCTGGAGCCCTGGGGAAAGGAGGCTGCAGGGACTGATCTAGCAGCCTCCATAGAGAAAATGAGCAGTGTGAGAGGGTAGCCTCAATGCAAGGGTTAACTGTTCAAATTCCTGGAGTTCCGCTTTAAATATAGAAGAAAATGTCAGCAGTAAGAATGAGATCCTTCGTAATACCTGCAGCGATGGGTGGAAATAAGAAAGGGGTTGTAGAGCACTTATAGTCCCTTGTAGACTTGCTGGATTTTATCTAGAAGTGTCACTTCTGAGCAAAATAGAAATACAAATCCTAAAGGGCGAGGTGTTTGTTTAATTGATTTATAATATGATCCTTTATAATTGTAATGACCAGAAACAAAACAGCATATGGAGAGGGATTAGAACACTTGTCAGGTTTTTATTGCCATTTGTGTCCTGTTAGGGAGATTCACCCTCTATATTGGTCCTGGTGACTGTTACCACTGAAAGAAAATGTTGGGCTGTCATCAACACAGGAATAGATGGGAAATGTTCCAATGGGGACACTAGTTCTGGTGACCCTGCTGTCACCAGGGATTTCCCTCACTTTGGATTTATTTCCTCTAACTCACTGCTGTAAATATTGGGCAGGGAGTGAAGGGAAATCTCCCCAAGGGGACACGGATGGCAAAAAATGCTGACAGGGGTCATAACCCTCCCTTACTCTATCCAAAACTAAAAGAAAAAAATATTGCTTTCAGCTCTACTTTAAGCTACCTAGCAATAAAATCACAAGCTTTAAACTTGCCTAGTTCAGCACAGAAAATATCTGTGAAGCTAGTGTTCCATTCTAAATCAAGTTTTAGTTTTTGCTAACTTTTTTCAAAATGTCTACATTCTATAGACCTTGAAAACCATGGATTGTGTTTGGGGCTTGTTACATTTAATTCTATGTGTTAGTGATAATGTAGGGAAGGACAAGGGGGGCAAATGGTTCAGATCTTTCATGTCAATCCTCAATAAAATGATGCATCTTGATTTATTTAGCAAAAGAAACTCGCATTCTTCGTTCAGCCTGCCTGTGGGTGGATGGGCTTTTCTTCGCTGCAAATGGGTTTTGAAGTCAAGTCTATGGGAATAAAAAACATGCTTGATACAGATCACAAGGAGGTAAACGACAGGTCAAATAAACCTGTCAAATTCTGAATGATCTTAGAAGCATCTAAAGGTGCCCATACACTGCTCGATTCTCGTACGAGAATCGCGGGAAATCCCGCGATCGTACGAGAATCGAGCAGTGTGAACGAAGACGTGCGACCGTTTCTACTGTACCGGTCGCACGTCTTTTGTCTAAGGAGCACGCGAGAAAACCAGCCGAAAATCGTACGATTTTCGGCTGGTTTGAACGGTGCTCGGGAGACAAATGCCGAACGGGCCGGTGTGCGCACGCGCACACTGCCCGTTCAGCATTGCGGTAATCGGAAGCCCGCCCCTCAGGGGGGCGGGCTTGCGATGATCGAGAGTACGATCTGCCTGTCCAAGATGGGCAGATCGTACGTTTTTTAAATCACTTTACAACCATCGCAAGACTAAGGTCTTGCGATGGTTGTACAGTGTATGGCCACCTTTAAGCTAATGTCAAACGAATGCCATCGGCACAAGCCCAAAGCCCGTTGACACCGGCCCTTAGGGTGTTAATGCAGTTTCAGTTACTTGCTATCCAAAATGTGTTTCTCTAGTTCCACAGATCACTTTTGAAGCTGGTAGAAAGACTGGTGCACAAGCTGACACTGTATTCCTAAAGTCAACCTCAGATCACAGGATGATATATTTTTAGTAGAAAAGGTTCCACAATCCTAAACAGACAAATGATCCACACAAAAACTGATATCTTCCATTAGTCTACATCATCCACACGCTTTTTATATTCCAGGACACCTCCGGCAGGCAGCAAGATCCCTGCACCTGAATGCCAAATTCACCCACTTTTGAAGTCCATTATGACATTTGTGATCCTTTTTTACATTACATACATCAACAGGAGTATAACCCCTGCTGCAATGCATCCTATGAGACTACACAGAGATGGAAATATAAGAGCAGAGATCACACCAAAGCTCCCAACTGTCCCTCATTTAGAACCAAAATACCACTGCTCCTCTTTCCTCCTGACTTGGCCCTCTTGGTGCCCTGATGTACAGACCTTTATAAAAAGAATGTGTCATTTACCTACCGAAAATGTTATGGTACATTAGGCGGTCCATTTATAAATGTTTTCACACAACTTCTCACCCAGGAGTCACACACTTCTAATTAAATCCAATAACAAAAATTGTTTGAATCTCGGGGGACATATGTGAAAACGTCTATAAATAGACCCCTAACCCTTTCAGCTAAATGATTGCATTTGTTATTTTGATTAGGTAGCCTAAAGGTAAAGTGATAGGGGTCTTTATTCTACATATTGTGCTATGAACAGTGTCACTTCAGAAGGCTGAGAGGTATGGACACCACTTAAAGTGACATTAAACTCTCAGATTTTTTAACATAAACCAATACTGGCATGTGTGCCTTACTGTAATCCATGGTAGTTTCCCTTTTCTTTGCTGCTCTTCCTTTTAAATCCTTATCTCTTCTCATGCTGGGGGAGAACTTCCCTTTGCAACTGAGTGCCTCTTCCTGTAGTGCTGGCTCGGGTTGTGAACCTTCACACAGACACTATGTATCCATTTCAGAGACAAGGCAGTCTGCTGCAAAACAGAAGTTCTGCCCAGCATGAGAACAGATACGGATTTAAAAGGAAGAGCAGCAAAGAGAAGGGAAACAACCATGGATTACAGTAAGGCGTACATTACAGTATTGTTTTATGTTAAAAAATCTGAGGGTTTAATGTCACTTTAAGTATTGAACCACAAATAATGAAAAAAGGATTGCCTCATGCCTTAAAGTGACGCTAAACTCAGGAGTTAAATCTTAAAAATACATTCAAGTACCTTAACTAAATTGTTTAGTGTCACGTTAATGTTACAGAGACTGTCATAATGCTTCATACCGGACAGCCATAAGATTAATATCCTGCCTTAGAGCACCTATCCAGGGCTGATAATAGCTTTGTAGTAGTGATGAAACTAGCTGCGAGTTGTCTAATGCCCAGTGAACTGATGCTGACCACTCAGCAGGACATTGTAGTCTCTACCAGGTACATCATGTCTTGACAAAGTCTTTTTTAACTGAACAAAGGGTGAAATCATAAAAAACAAAACCTGTGTAAAGTATTATTGCAGAAACCACAAACGCATACAGTTTGATTTTGGAGAAACAACTGGACTTTCCAAACATGATGCGCAATTTGCTTTCACCTGCAACACTAAAATACATATTTCATAATTACTCAAATGCTCAGCAAGTAAGACCTAGCTCCAATATAATCATGGAAAATATGTGCATTAATAAGAAAACTTCTGCTGCAGGTAGGGGACATGTGTATGTAGTGATAATTCCTCGGAGTGTCAGTAGTTTCTGGGCGATGTATAAGCACCATTCTCATGAATATTGCTTCAGTCTGCACAATGTCTGTCTCAATAGTTTGCAAGTAGATGGCTGTCCCTGAATGCTGACACATGAAAAAACTAAAGCACATAACTAAATACAAAATGCATAGCTGGAGGTGTGATATATTATTGACTGCAAACCTGCTATAGTGAGATCTGGGACGGCAACTAAGCTTGTTTGCAAATGTGGCCATCTTTAAAAGGGGATTATTTCACTGAGGAAATGAGAATACCGATTGCTGGAGGCTTATGAACCCAGAGCTGTCCAGCTTTCTCAAGGCAATGCAGCTATATAAGGCTAGAATTACTACTGATTGTATTTTAGAAGCTAGAGTCACATTGGAAAATGCAAGTACTTTGGTGACCTTGGATCTGCTTTACCAGTTGAAAAGTAAAACTAGCATAGAAACTCCAACATTTTTGGTACTTTCTTCTACAATAGTCAGTAAATGATATTTACTTCTGGATAATTTCTGAGGCTTTCACCCAGCAGCTTGTTCTATCTTCAGGGGACCTAACCTAAATATATCGGCTTTGACTGGACAGATCCTTTAATAGTCCAGCATGTTCTTTATTAAATCCTTGGAAATTGTCACATTCACCTAATAGGGTTCCCAGAATCCTTACTGCTAGAATCAGCCTGGCAAATCTTTTTAACTATGGATACAGTAGGGCCACCCGATATAGCTATACCTACAGAAGCTCACTGTTGCTTCTGACAACATGTACCTAAAGAAATAAAACTAAAATAAAATTGATTGACAGAGGAGACATAGTCAGCAAGGTTCATGATATGACAATATATACGAGAAGTAGAATACTAGAAAAACAAGTGCTATTTAAGAAGTTAGCTTCAGAAACGATTAGTGGCTAGCGGACCATTCCTTAAAGAATAACTGCACTTGTAAAACAAAACTTGAGCTCATTAAAAAGCATAGCAAAAAAAACATAAAATATAAATAAGTACCTCTAAGCCGAAGAACACATTGATTGCACTGTCAGGCCAGTTCGGAACTAGCTCGTCGAAAACCCTGCCCCCTCCTTCCTTTGGTATACACTGCCCATCCCCTCCGGATATACAGTGGCGATGGGTTCAAACCCTGCTCTAGCCCTGTTCAAGCCAGGCAGTGTAACAAACTGGATCTCTGACTTAGTGATGGCACTTTAGATTTATATCTTTGATAGAAACTGTCGGAAAAAAAAATAATGAAACTAACTTTGTAGTCCAGGTGTGATCAGACCTTCAAAAAAAAAAAGGAAAAAAACACACTAGATTTCTAAATCATTCCCCTGTCTATGTTCTCAATAAACGGTTCAGTGCAGGGATGACCTTTTTACAGGAGTAACAGAATGGAGTTCAGCATACACTGACTATCCAGCATAGACCTGTGGTTGTAGTGGAGGGGGTAGACGGTCATCTTCTACATTTTCTGAATCGATGGATGCCAAAGCTTGGCTGCTAGATTTGATGTTCAGTGGGTATTTCTCCACAATGTCCCGCACCTCACGAGTTACGTCCTCTGACCAGTCAATCAGGTCCTTTTCTAACTTCTTGGCCCCTGTCACAATGCGCTCCTGCCTCACAGACAGCTCTGAGAGCAAGTCTAGGTTCCTGTGCATCTGTTTTACTCCTGGGCATGTGTCTGTGTCCCAGATGTCAGAATCATGCTTTTTTGGGGAAGCTTGGCCAGACATGTACCTGCTGAACTCTTCTTCACTTAGGTTCAATGACTGGGCATCCAGCTTCTCAATGAATGCTATTGCACAACACTGAAGAGGAGACACAACAGAGAATACAAATGTTATTTCTTTTCTTGAAAAGTCGAATTATAAACTCCTTTTTTTCAATAATGATTCCAGATAAAACAAATATATGTTACCCAACAATGTATTTCTTGACATTTTTCCACCAGGAACTCACAGTCATCATGTTTCCAAACATCTGGCTCTACTCTCACAACTCGGCTTCCTGGAACTTACAGTCCAGTACAAGATCAAAAGGGACAGTACAGTCTCCAGCAGACATCCGTCTACTAGCTTGGAGAAGGGAGAGCAGTGAGCAGGGGAGCAGATTGTTCTACTGTGTCTTTGTGCATCCATTGGAGATGACTTAATTCGCATTTGAACTAGCTTAAAAAATATACGACTTTAATACCATCTAACAAAGACTAAATGTAACATTTTGGTCTTACAGCTGTATCTTGCAAATGCAAACAAATCCCTATATTATGAACGTGTTGTGCGTGTGTACAGATTGTAATGTGCTAGCAGAGAGTCAAATTTGCAATCTCCCATGTCTCTGGTGCACCATCAGATCATGAATCTTATTCGAACTAAAACTCAAAGATGACTTGTTTTTGTGCTATATTAGGGTAATTCCCTAAAAATGTACAAATGTAGACAACTTTAACATAAATCTGTGGTCACATAAAATATAAAAGTTTGCTGCAGACTGCCCCATGGGACCCTAAAAGGAAGTTCTGATCAGAAAATATTGACAACCTCCTGTATTTACTGGTTCAGTCCAACTGGTTAGTAAGTCAATCTGGAGATTTTCATCTGCCGCTTCTGCTGGGCTTTTGAAGTGCCTCTGTACCTTTAGGGAGGAATGACTTACCTCCAGGTATACCTGCCTTATTTCATTTATTGCGGTGTATGTCCCAAGATAGGAGCTCTGTTAGACTAGTGATGGGGATCACACTATACAGAGGGGCAAATATATGAAAATGAATGCAACTAAAGCCTGTGTTTTTAACATCAATGGTTGAAACGGTGTAGAATTAGTTTTTCTGACTAGCTGGTAATTGTGGTAGGAAATTCTTGTATTGTATTAGTCTACTCAAATATTTCCACAGTGCGATCGCCTGCACCAGAACACGTGGCACATCAGTGCCTGTGTTGCGGTCCAGTGCGATCGGAACAAATGCTGCATGCACTATTTTTTCAGATGGCACTGGAACGCACTGTATATGGTGTGAACAAGCCCTAAAGGTGGAGATTGGGAGATAAGCAGATAGATTGTGGTAGGGAGTTCCAGAGAATGGGAAACATTCTAGAGAAGTCCCGGAGGCGAGCAAGTGAAGAGTTGACAAGGGAGCTAGAGAGCAGGAGGTCTTGAGAGCAGCGGAGAGGAGAGTTTAGGTGATATTTTGAGATGAGGTTGTTGATGTAGCTGGAGACAGAGTCGTAGATGGTTTTTGTATGGCATTGTTAGTATTTTGAAGCATTTGTGATAGACTGTTTACTTTAAATACTCTTAGTGCATTATTATTTACTCGTAAAAACTTTAAGGACTGAAGAAGAATGCAAATGGTGGGTACTTTCAAGTAGCCAGCTATTGTGTCACTAACAATCTCCTCTATTCCAGTTTAAGGTCAATGTATTATTTCCTTACAATTTATATTGTATGCAAACCCAAATACAAAATTGAAATCCTTCTGCTTGTGTCTTTAGTTTTCTATTGTTGCCCATGTCATTCTGCCAATTTATTCAGGATATGCCTCCTTCACCAACCTCTTTCCACTGCTACGGGCGTTATGGAGAGGCCAAGGATGTCAATCAGCTGTTCGTCTCCACCTACTGCAGGAATTGCGCAAGGGCTGCTAAAAGCTGAAGTCCAGGAGCCAGGACCCTGTGGTGACATGACACTGGATACAGCTTCCTACCTGCCTACTGCTGCAAGGCATAGACACAGGAGGACTACTAAATAAATATACAACAAAAGGTATTTTGGGGATCGTTTTTGCAATTTTGGAGATTCGGACGGCGTTTACTATGGACAAACTATATTCTGTATGTTTCAACAGCTAAAGCTTTACATAGGCCTTTTGTGGATACCAAAGTTTGGGAAACTCTGCTTAGCCGGACCACCAGTATAACAGCCTGTTTTCATAAACCACAAACTTTTCTGTCCAGCTGGATCTCTGAAAAACCCCTGGTCATAGACAACAGTCATGATTTCAGGGTTTCTCGGGAGCAGTGAAAAGGCATTATTCGAATAATTATTTTCCTCCTTCCTGTGGGAATGCAGTAAGTGCTGTAAGCAGCATTTATCCTATACCATAACTCACCTCAAAGTTGTAGTGTAATTGGCAACACTGACAGTAAATATATAGTTTCCAAGGCAGAAAGGTGCATGGAAAGCACATCTTAAAACAAAATTGTATGAACAGAGACTAAGGAGACACCAGAAGGTCAGTAATTTCTATTACTCACTAGATTTGTGAAATAGTATCCATCTTCCCCAGTCATCAGCCGGCTAGGATTGCAGAATCTTGTGATATACTGGATATTTGACTGCAGACGTGGTGGGTTTGCCTTTAGCACAATGTAGATGAGAGTAGGGAGGAAGTCATCAGCAGATGCAGGTTCATTTTTTGTGATTCTAATTGCATTAAATATTTGTTTACTGCAACCAGTAATACAGGCAAGCTTGTCCCGCGGAATCCGCTTCGAGTCCATTTCTATGATATCTGCAGTAATTAAAAGAAACAATCTTAATTATCACCATCATTATCTAGAACTACTGTATGTGCTTCTAAATACACTATATTGCCAAAAGTATTGGGACACCCCGTCAAATCATTGGATTCAGGTGTTCCGTGAGATTTCCTTGCTACTAAATTTTCCACAGTCAACTATTAGTGGTATTACAACGAAGTGGTAGACCACATAAAATGACAGAGCGGGGTCTGCACATGCTGTGAAGCCCACAGTGCACAGAAGTCGCCAACTGTCTGCAAAAGCTACCGACCTCCAAACTTCATGTGGCCTTCAGATTGGCACAACAACAGTGCGTAGAGAGCTTCATGGAATGGTTTTCAAGGGCCGAGCAGCTGCATCCAAGCTTTACATCACCAAGTGCAATGCAAAGCGTTGGATTCAGTGGTGTAAAGCACACCACCACTGGACTCTAGAGAAGTGTTCTCTGCAGTGACGAATCACGCTTTTCTGTCTGGCAATCTGATGGACGTGTCTGGGTTTGGCGGTTGCTAGGAAAATGATACTTTCCTGACTGCATTGTGCAGAGTGTAAAGTATGGTGGACGGGGGATTATGGTGGGGAGTTGTATTTCAGGGGTTGGGCTTGGCCCCTTAGTTCCAGTGAAGAGAAATCTTAAGGCATCAGCATACCAAGACATTTTGGACAATTTCATGCTTCCAACGTTGTGGGAACAGTTTGGGGATGGCCCCTTCCTGTTCCAACATGACTGCACACCAGTGCACAAAGGTGGAGGTGGAGGAACTTGACTGGCCTGCACCTCAACCCAATAGAACACCTTTGGGATGAATTAGAGCTGTCCAACATCAGTACCTGTCCTCACAAATGAGCTTCTGGAAGAATGGTTAAACATTCTCATAGACACTCTCCTAAACCTTGTGGACGCCTTCCCAGAAGAGTTGAAGCTTTATAGCGGCAAAGGGTGGACCAACTCAACATTGACCCCTACAGACTAAGACTGGGATGCCATCAAAGCTCATGTGCGTCTAAAGGCAGGCGTCCCAGTACTTTTGGCAATATAGTGTATGTCAGGACTCCCAGCATATTTTAGTTATCAAGAGTACACAAGACCAAAAGTCTTAATCAAAAAATCTAAAAGATTAATCAATTCTACATCTTCCAAAACAGCGCTAAGGTCTTCTGCTGCCATGGTAATGGTGGTGTTCTCATCTCAACATCTAGTCAAGAACCAGCTGCACTCCTTACCGGAATAGTAGTAAACCTGCCAAGCAGGTGGGTGATTGTAGTGACCATGGACGGCCCCGTGAACAATGCAGGAATGCAGGATTGTAAGGATTGTCACCAGCACACCAAAAGTTTTGAAGCAAAAAGTCCTTTATTGACAAATCGCCATCCAATACAAGCGCTTTCGGGGTCTCAGCAGTACCCCTTCATTAGGCTCAGAATTACACAGTAAAGCAAACCATCATCTTTAAATAGACATACCAGTGCATATTAAAAACAGACCACTCCCACCAGTTGCAGCTGGAAAACCGTATATTCCCGCCATTCTGCACTCAAATGAGGCTCACCTGTAATCCACTGTGTACACAGCGAGTTGTAATGATATGGCCGTTAGCTGGAAGTAACATCAGCTGGTTACCTAGGGTACAGGACGCTGGCATGCACAGTGGACAAGAAGCCAACTGCAGTCATAAGCATAATCTGATTGAGGGCGACGCCGGTCTCAGCGTGGCAACAGTGCAGCAAAAGACATTCCCCATTAACAATCCACATTAGGATAAGATTATGCTGACATTGGTGGTGCACATATAAGCCCACAGGAGTAAACATGTGAAGCATATTCATATAGGGACACATCATTTAACGTTGTATGAATATATAAGCACAAAAGAATACATTTGAGCCATACGTTATGGTGTCAAGCACACGGGGGAATGTAAAACAGTAAAGAGGACTGTAAATCTTATATGTCCAACATTAAGGACAGTAACATTATTGCATATACATTGATAATCTGGAAACATCCCTATTTGGTCCTCATGAAAAATTATGAGCATGCAGAAAAAAGTCAAGAGCAACGCGCCCCAAGACCCTGAGGAGCAAGTAGTTGGGCGTGTGGGAGAGGGGTGGTGTAGATGAGATAAAAGGTCGCCCAGAACTGCCAGTGCGTTTCAAGGCCCAATGAAGAACCACAATTGATATAAATCCTATCGTTTCCATAAGTAAAGGAAGAGAAGGACAAACTAAAAGTTACCCATAGCGTCAGTAGAGACATTGTAGGATATTTAAGTTGGACCGAGTGGCTCTATGGATCGCTTTATTGGCCAACGTAAAAGTATGCACAAATGGAAGCCTATCCTCAGTGGGGCGCACCTTGCTGCCTCCATAGAAGATCTCAGTGGCCTTCGTGAGGGCAGAATCCACTATGGACCTGGGGTAACCCCTTTCTATGAAGCGGTCAGACATGTTATTACTCCTCATCTCAACATCTTCTTCATTCTTCAGTGCCCTTGGCTACAATAACATATTGTACATATAACATGCTTGCAGCCTCACATGCAATTTACGCCAAACAATGCACACGTGTGACCATGGTCTAAAACTCAAACACTCAAGCCAACTTAAAAAAACCCATGTTCAACAGAGAAGCTGGAAACGAATACCCTGGTTATCAAGTCCACAACACTGTACAAAGACTATTCTTGAGGCAGAGGAGTTCACAATGTTTTGACCATGTAGCTTACAACAGTGGTTCTTAAGTGGTGTAGTAGGCAGCCATCCAAACTGTTAACCTGTGTAGCTTATGTTCGTTCTTTTGTATTTTCATACTCAAAGTGTAACTGTAGTTTTAGTTACACTTATTGGGCTCTATTCCCTGTTCTCCACCCCCAAGTCTTATACAAATGTTTTTCTGATCTGCCAAGATCTTCACAAAAATGCACAACCTTCTCTTCAAATTTGCGGTCCGTTAGGACAAGTGGAGTTCATAATCTATAAAAGATCAAATAGATATCGTACTGCACATGCCCAGAAGGAGGTAGGCTCGACACAAAATTGTAGAAGAGGCTGCATAGGGAAAGGGAACTGCACTAAAATGTTAGCTTTGGTTTACATTGGTCAGTGGACAAACTCACACCTTTAGTGAACCTTTGCTTTAATAATTCCTCCACCCCTGCGTGCAAAGTGACTTGTTAAATACTAACCTTCCTCCCCATTGCAGGGATTTTCACTGTGCGGCCCTGCCTTTCTCCTGAAAATATTCCTTTCGGCTCCTCCTTTTATTGTGCACACATTTCATAGACCTATTTGTTCCTATGGGTGAGTTGTATTCCAGCCTCCCTTCAGCTGTGGCACCCAAGTACCCTAACCCGGAGACAGTTTATAAACCTTCATTTAAATACTGACCTGTTATAGCTTTTACAACCATATCCGACACTTCAGGAATATCCTCATTGACTGGAACACACAGCATCTCAAGCGTGACCCAATGTAAGGCCCTGTAGAACAGAGCAAGAAAGCAGAGCTTTAAAGTAGATCAGTACTCAGTTTTGAAAATATATTTCTATAAATTTCCAAATAGGAAAACCATGGACGGACTTTACTGAATAATCTGTTTTGTGTAGAGTTGTACTTTAGAGTAGACTAGGGCAGGCTATCTATCAATAGGTTGAATTTATAGTGGTTTTCCAAATATTTTTATATGGCCAAAAATAGGGATGCACGATACAGATACTGGTATCGATATCGGTGCCGATACCAAGTATTTGGGCGAGCACTCGTACTTGCCCATATGCTCCAATGCCTAGCCCGATACTGCCTGCATCAGGAAGCTGGGCAGCGCGTCATTACACGCTGCCCGGTTTCCTGATTGGCCGGCCAGACGGCTCCGGCTGGGTACCGGAGGAAGGCCGCGTTCTGGCCGGAGAGGCGTGACAGGCTGGACATACCAAGGTAAGAGGTGACAGACTTTCTTGTTAATCAGGAAGCCAGGTGTCGAGTTATTACACGCCACCTGGCTTCCTGAATTGGACTTCCGTTACTCGGTAATTGGTATCGGCAAGTACCGAAAAGCAATTATCGGTACTCGTACACGGTACCAAAATACCGGTATCGGTGCATCGGTAGCCATAAACATTATTTAATTTTTTTTCTCCGTCATGAATATATGAAGTTCAAATTTACATACAGACGTAATTGTCATCTTGGTGTAAATAAGTATCCCTTACTTCCCAACGAAAGCAAGGATCAAGGCACTGAGGTGTATTAAACGTTTATTTGTAAAACAAATCTTTTAAACATGTAGTAAAAGAACGGATATAAAACAAAAGTTTCAAATCTTAAAACTTAACAAAAAATAAACCTTGAATTGTTTCCGAAGTCTGGAAAGGTGCTGCCCGAGTATCTCTGCTGCTGTTGGGATATGCCATGGGGAGCTTTATGATGAGCGCTGGGGTCATAAAAGAATATCCCAATGGGGTCCTAGAGACCTTTTAACAATATGCCAAGGGATTGAACACTGCACCCCTATCCAAACAAAATCGACTTTCTGATATCAGCCTCACCTGATCCTCTTTTGTACCGTCAAGTCTTTCTTCTCATCATCTGTGGTTTCTGGACAGAACACATGTTTGTATAAGCGTGTCGTGATAAACTTCTCAATTTGGTCCATTGCTTCTTCCACTTTATTGGGCGGGACTATTTTTAAAAGTAATAAAAGCCATTAAGAATCATAGTGATGGTATAGAATTTTGCCTTGCACAGAAAAACCATGAAACAGAAGATATTCACATGTCTCATTCCATCACGTCTCCCACAAATGGAAAGATTATACCTCCATTTTAGGACAGTGCGGAGAGCCATGCAATTCAGTGCTTTACACCCCATTGGTCAGATGCACATCCAGAACTGCTGGTGAATAATGCAAATATTGCCTAATATTATAGAGCCATGTATTCCAAACTACATACAGAAGTTTCAGGCATTCTGGCCATCATCACTGCAGTGTATAAAAACCATGGCTTCTGTGGAGTAGGCCTTGGCACCAGTGTCGAATAATAATTTTTGTCAAAATTTTCGTCAACAACACTTTTTCAGTGACTAAAACTAAATAAAAACCAAGTTATGACTAAAATTATAATGAAAATATAATCGACATTTTAGTCAACTAACTGAAACTAGACTACAATGTTAGGGAGAGACGATTTGGGAAGAGATCCAATTAGAACTAATCTCTTCGGAGTTCCGGTTCCATCCTGAATGGACTGCCAATAGGTAATATGTGCAATGGCATTAGAGCCAAATATAGTTTTCCATTTTTATATTTTAGAGTTGTAATAATGCATATCTAATTACCATGCAGAAAATACACAATATTATTGTTTCTTTATAAGACTTTAAGATTGAGGGTTTGTTCACATCAAATGCAGACCAGATCTGCATGAGTTTCTGCACACACAGTGCAGTGTGTTATGCCGCATTTTTTGCTGCGTTCAGGGACGTTTTTGGTAAAAAAAATAAATAAAAAATTTTTTTTTTCAGTTTAAAATGGGCTTTCAGTGCGTTTGCATGCATTTTTTATGCGTTTGCATGCGTTCCAGAGCAGGAAAAATAGGGCTTGCTGCAGTTTTTTTTACATGCTGTGGAACTGAACGCTGTGGTGTGAACTAGAGCCCAAAATACCATTGGAATACATTGGACGCAGTTTTGATCCAGTCTGTAACTGCTCTGCTCCTGGAACGCGCTTGGTGTGAACAAGCCCTGAGTCTCATCGTAAGATAAATAAAGCCATGTTATATATCACTGCAGTTAAATCTGTGTCTGTATTGCATGGTCAAACCTTAATACCATAAGTAATAACAGGCTAACAGATGTTTACTCCAGGAGTATATAACGAGATTGGAAATTCTAGAGAAATTCCGAAAATTACTCTTTAACTAAACCCACTAGATTTTAGTATCTTCTGTAGATCTAGTCTACTAAAATCTTATGATATTTAGCCGACTAAACCTAGACTAAAACAATTCATATGACTAAAACGAAAAAAATAGCATTTTAATCAAAAGACTAAGACTAAATCTAGATCGAAATTTGCTTTCAAAATTAACACTGCTTGGGACAGGACAGTTTAACCATAGAGGTGATGGTGAGACGGGACTAAAGCAATTACAAAGTCATCAGTAAAGACGTCTTAAAACAGAAGGTATTCATATGGCTCATTTCTTTACATATAGCAGGAGGATTATTCAGAACAGTGGGCAGAGCCATGCTAATCATTGTTTTACACCCCATTGGCCAGATGCACATCCAGAGCCACTGGTGTATAGTTCATATATAGACTAATAATACAGAGCCATTTTACCTTAAAAATCAATAAAAACAAACCTATATTGAAATGAAGGTTTAACATGAAAAAATGCCAGCAGATTGAATAACGATTTAACGATGTTTGGCCTTTTATTTTACTGCTAGCAAGCAGTAGATATATGCAAAAAAAATAAAATAAACGCTTTAACAGCAGTTTAAACTTACCTGTGTCTTCCCCGCGCGCTCCTGTCCGAAAATGTAAAACTGCTCGGGCCGCCGCAAACCATCTTGGGGCGGGCGCATCCGCAGTTCACATTTTCGGCCGGGACGCGAGGAGGGACACAAGGTAAGTCTATGGACGCGTGCACCGGCATGCAGACACTGTGGGACAGGAAGTGCCAGCAAGCACAGAGGAGTCAGCGCTGGATCGGAGACTCGCCGTAGCGCTGGAGAGAAGGCTGAAAACTACAGGAAAGAAGATGATTGGATTAAAAGACATCATTTAAGGTAAGTGCTTTACTTAACGTTGGGGTGAGGGAAAGAAAATTTGCCTTTGTCACTTTAACCCCTTCGTGACGGGAGACGTACACTGTACGTCCAGCCACAAAGGGACCAAATGACTCGTCACGTACACTGTACGTGACGAGTTATTTGCTGCACTAGAAGGCTGCTAACCGCTGAGAATCAGCGGTTACCTTTCAGTAATAGATGTCTAACTATCTAGAGATCCATTACTGAAAGGGTTAACCTTTTTCAGACACCCGATACCTTAATATCGGGTGTCTGAGAGTCACAGCAAAGCAGAGACACATGTGGGCTTTTGCCGGCATTCTGACAGCTCGTATAGATCGAGAGATATCTCTCTCAAGCTATACTGGCTTTTTTTTTTTTTATCTTTTGACTTTCAAGAATAGATACAAAATGTTATGTATTAGACACATAATGTATCTATTCTTGAAAGTAGAATGTTTAAGTTTTCTGAAACATTCACTGACAGCTGAATCCTGAACTGCTGCAGGATCAGTGTCACTAACTTATTATCGGCTGTTCTGAAGTTTGAAGCAGCCTGATAATAAAAAAAATGTATTAATTTATCAAGCAGTAATAGTGAGATTAATTCACAATGACTGCCTGATATAATTAAATAAATAAAATTTGTCAGTATAAAAAAAGTGAAAAGTGTAAATAAATTAAAAAAAAAAGTGAAAAGTGTAAAAAAATTAAAAATAAGGGACAAATAAATGAATGTATGTATTGCATTTTTTTTTAGCTGTGCTGGTTTTGTTAAAAAAAAATACTACAAATCAAAACTGGGAAAAAAAGTTTTTTTTTACGTTTTTTCCTCTTTTTTTAATTTGTATTTGTCCTAAGTGAGGCGTTAGACACACATATGTGATATAAATATATAGCCCTATCTGTCCTCTAAAAAACAATATATAATATGTGTGGGTGCACTTTGTAAGAAAGTATATTACTGACGTGGAAGAATCACACAGCAAAAATGTCAAAAGTGTGTCAGTCATTTACGAACAGAAACCAAAAACAAGCTCAGTCATGAAGGGGTTAAGCAATGTTGTGAAAAATTTTTTAAAACTGAAAAATACTAAAAACAGATAGAAATTCAGAGTTAGGACTTACCGGTAACTCTATTTCCATTAGTCTTCCAGGACAGCATCACGAGATGGAATCTCCTCCCCCACACACAGGAAACACGTCACTTAATCTGCTTAAAAGACCCTCCTCTCCTCCACTCCCTCAGTCATCACGAGAACCGAAGGCAAGCTGGAAAAAGACAAGGCACAAACAGGCAATACCACTACATCACATTAACACTACAAGCATCAATGGGCGGGCAGTTGCTGTCCTGGAAGACTAATGGAAATAGAGTTACCGGTAAGTCCTAACTCTGAATTTCCCATAACGTCTTCCAGGACAGCATCACGAGAGGATAACCACACAGAAGTGCTTTGGAAGCCAGAACTGTACTGATATAGTTAAAACTGGAAAATAAAAGATGCCCAGAGCGAATAAAATGTCTGACATATTTCATCTGATCAAATCTGTAGAATAGACATTTCAGCCCTTCTAAACAGGTAGCAAGATTCATTTATTTTATGTGTAGCAGCTCCAGTAAAGAAACACTGAACAATGGATGGTGACAGAACTGTGATTAGTAACCATAAAGAAAGCCAATACCATCTTGCAAACAACAGCGATACAAATTAAGTTGTCAGCAATGTATGAATAAATTGGAGATGAGCCACAAAAGACAGTTATCTACTTTAAGGGAGAAAGAAGAAGAAAAAAAACCTAAAATCAATGGGCTTCAGCTTTAATAAATAGGGTGTGATGGTTTGTCTAGTTAACACCTGAAAGGACGGGGTTACCTTTCCAATACATCTGCAGCTTGTCTGCTGTGTTCTGGTAAAAGTCCTGAGTGAATTCTGACAACTCATCAATATTTGAATCCTGGGGAGACAGCAAAAGAGACTAAGCATCAACATGTTTCCACTACAGATTCCAACTTCAATTTTTTCCTGACACATATGAGAGATGATGGAGTTATTGATTATTGGATACACGAGAAATGAACATTTCTTCTGAGAACAATAAGCAAGTTTCTGAAACAGAATATAATGATGCCCTCTTGTGGTCTTATGGGGAAGGAACCCTTATAGCTGACCTCTTACTGTTGGCGTTTTAAAGTGTAATTTTAATTGCAACCAAGTTGGGATAAGACCTACTATAAGGTGCCCATACACCTGCCGATTATTGTACGATAATCGGCAGGTGTATGGGCAGCGTGCGACCGCTTCTACTGTAAGGTCGCATGACTTTCGTCTTCCGAGCCCGCTGGAAAACCTGCCGAAAATCGTACGATTTTCGTACGAATGCCGCAAGCGCACACTGCCCGCTCAGCACTGCAATCATCGGAAGCCCTTCCCTCAGCAGGGAGGGCTTGAGATGATCGCAAGTACAATCTGCCTGTCCAAGATGGGCAGATCGTACAAAATTTTAATCACCTTACAACCACCGCACAACGAAAGTCATGCGATGGTTGTAAGGTGTATGGGCAGCTTAAGATTTGTTACATCTTCCCATTCACATCGGATAATTAAAAAAATAATTTCATTAATATGGCAGCTTACTTTTTTTGATGGTCTTTTTAACTCCAGGACTGGAAAATCCTACTTAGTTCTCACTGTCTAAGGGGACCGGGTTTCCCATTATTAACCCAGTCTGTACTGCGCTAAAAGGTTTCATTATCACAAAGGACTGTCTGCCCTAACAGGGTTAAAGATCTCATAGCATTGTATAATAATGCGCTTTGAAAAAATGTCCCTCAGTTTTAAGCTGAATATACACACAACACCCTGCTGCTTCACATCGGAAGCCCTTCCCTCAGCAGGGAGGGCTTGAGATGATCGCAAGTACAATCTGCCTGTCCAAGATGGGCAGATCGTACAAAATTTTAATCACCTTACAACCACCGCACAACGAAAGTCATGCGATGGTTGTAAGGTGTATGGGCAGCTTAAGATTTGTTACATCTTCCCATTCACATCGGATAATTAAAAAAATAATTTCATTAATATGGCAGCTTACTTTTTTTGATGGTCTTTTTAACTCCAGGACTGGAAAATCCTACTTAGTTCTCACTGTCTAAGGGGACCGGGTTTCCCATTATTAACCCAGTCTGTACTGCGCTAAAAGGTTTCATTATCACAAAGGACTGTCTGCCCTAACAGGGTTAAAGATCTCATAGCATTGTATAATAATGCGCTTTGAAAAAATGTCCCTCAGTTTTAAGCTGAATATACACACAACACCCTGCTGCTTCTATTGTATTCGGACAGTGGCCACCGGCCGCTGTCAGAATACCCTAACGGAGCCTGCAGATGACTGGCTGCAAGCACCTTTAGGCCAGATCATTTTCCATCCTGCTACTTCAATCTGTTGCTGGAGGGATGCCGATCAGGAATCAGATGTATACCCGACTTCTATTCTCTGTATTGGCCTCCTCCAAACAGCCAGCTAAAAAGGTAAGAAATATATTTAAAACAAATATATTTCTGTATATAATGCTGTATTAGGGAGATTAACATTTTCTATTTGTCCTGGTGACCACTGTCACTAGAACAGAAAAGGATGGCAAATCTAAACTATATAGTTGTCACTGTAACAGGCGGTAAGGAAAAAAAATCTTCCAATCAAACAACTATTCTTGTGATAATTATCTTGTGATAAGCGTGCTGTGAAAAAATGCAGCATGTTTGTTAGCTACAGCTCGCGGTATACTGAGGCGACGCAGCTGAAGCGGATCCCGACAATTATGTCTGGATCCGCCCAGCTGCGTGAGTGACAGCTGGCTCTGCCTATCTAGAGGCAGAGCCAGCTGTACCCGCCCCGTCCCCTGTCCGAAAAGCACTCCTCATAGTCCTCCTTTAAATATATTTTTTTTGTAAAGCAGTGTACCTCACATAATCATGAACGCAATCTTAACTTGGATTGTGATTTTTCTTTCAGGAAAACATAGCCAAGAACAAATGCCTGACAAAGCTACAAAAGAAGCATCTTCACCGACCTTCTTGTGATGCATGGCCTCCAGGAAGACTTTGCACTGCTTGTACACGTCAATTCCCGCTTTATGATACGTCTTCAAAAACTCAATAAAATCCTTGGACACGCGATCAGTCTCAATGCTGCACTGACGGGTGAGAGAAGGACTGGGAGCTTTCGGTTCTTTCATATCTGCTGTCAATAGGGAGGATACAGACCTTAGAAAAAGTGTACCTGTCATGTAACCTTTACCAAACATCAATGTACATGTACAGACTGAACAAAGCCCTTTATTCACTGTAGTATCATCATCATTCTCTTGATTAAAGAGGTCCCTGTTACACTAATATCACACAATCACTTAATCATCTCTGAAAAGCAAACAAGTGATGAGGTCACAAGGATTTCAAAAATGTAGTAGGCATATTCCTGCAGGTTAACGAGAAAAGATGTTGGCTGACTTCACACACATTTAATAAACAAGAAGTCTTTCTTTTTTTGTAAGTGTGGGATGTTTCATTGTACATCTATATGGGTGTCTCCCAGACCCTCCACAAAATCTTCCCATGCTAAGAATTTAGAAAAAGGCACCATTCACACCTGCAAATGGGGCCAGATCGCAGAGTCTCACAAATTCCTCTATGAGACTTGTGATCTGCTGCGGAGGCATGGCCCTGTGTATAATCCAATGACAGCTGCCATCGCCTGCAGCTGTTTGCAAGTATTCGCACAGGCTGCAATTACCTGTAGGTGACCGAACTTGGATTCAGACTTTTTAAATCCAGGTGAGGTCATCCACAGGGGCCAGTCTCATTTATTCTTCTGTGAGACTCATGCGATCTGCTGGGGGCAGCGGCGATGTATAATTCAGTGACAGTTGTAACCACAACCTGCAAACAGCCCCAGGTTATGTTAGCTGTCACTGGATTTTACAGTGCCTCCTGCCCACAGCAGATCGCAGGAGTCTCTAGGAGGAAAACATGAGACTCCGGCCCCATTCCCAAGTTTCTGTCCTGAAGCTATGGTGTCACAGGGAAAGAAGGGATGAGAAAATCCTCCAGAGGGAACAGATAGAACATGAAAGCATTAGTTGGGAGAAGAGGAGAGTTATAAACGATGTCAGGTATAGTTGTGTTTTCCTGTGCCGGTGAAAGTAATTCTCTTGATTTTTGTCCTCATGTACCAGGAACAAATAGTAAGAGAAAATCTCCATAACGGGACCGCAAGTAGCACTTAAAAGGAGAACTATGAGATGAGTGATTTCCACTCACCTCATAGTTCTAAGCCGACCTGTGACAATGAGACTGTCACAGGTCGGCTCAGTAGATCGGGAGGTGAGGGAACACATACCGGGTTCCCTCACCTCTCGATCCTGTCACGGCCCTGCTCCGATCTGCCAGCGCTGACTGGCGGAACGGACGGGGCGGGTACAGCTGGCTCTGCCTCTAGATAGGCAGAGCCAGCTGTCACTCCCGCAGCTGGGCGGATCCCGTCTTCCGAGTCGGGATCCGCTCCAGGTGCGGCGTCTCAGTATACCGCGAGCTGTAGCTCGCGGTATACTGAGCTTAGGGTAACGGGAGGACGCTTATTTGTGTCCTCCCGTTACCCTAAGGAGAACTATCGGGAAAAACACTGACCCCATAGTTCTCCTTTAAATCTGACAGAAGTGCAAATGCTTCCCCACTGTAAACACACAAAAAAAGGACAATGGATGTTGTTCATCTGATACCTGCAAGATAGACAGGTCTGGATAGTACTTGGGCTTCTGTGAAGCATGCCGCACAGTCCTCGCACCCGTAAGAGCTGAACTCCAGGCTAATGGTAAATATACAGTTAAAATACCTACAAATATATACACTCACTGGACACTTTATCAGGTACACGTGTTCGACGGCTCGTTAATGCAACTATCTAAATCAGCCAATCACATGGCAGCAACTCAATGCATTTAGGCAAGTAGACATGGTCAAGACGATCTGCTGACATTCAAACCAAGCATCAGAATGGGGAAGAAATTAGATTTAAGTGACTTGAATATGGCATGGTTGTTGGTGCCAGAATGGCTGGTCTGAGTACTGCAAAAGCTGCTGATCTACTGGGATTTTCACACACAACCATCTGTAGACTTTACAGAGAATGGTCAGAAAAAGAGAAAATATCCAGTGAGCGGCAGTTCTCTGGGCGAAAATGCTGATAGAAAGGCAACAGTAACTCAAATATCCGCTACAACTGAGGTATGCAAAAGAGCATCTCTCAACACACAACACGTCGAACCTTGAAGCAGATGGGCTACAGCAGCAGAAGACCACAACTGCCACTCCTGTCGGATAAGAACTGAGGCTACAATTCCTATTGGACAATAAAAGATTGGAAAAACACTGCCAGGTCTGATGAGTCTCGATTCTACATAAACATGAAAGCATTGATCCATCTTCCCTTGTATCAATGGTTCAGGCTGGTGGAGATTCACGTTATGGATGTGCAGCCGACAAATCTGCAGCAACTGCATGATGCTATCATGTCAATATGGACCAAACTAAGGAATGTTTCCAGCACCTTTTTGAATATATGACAAAGAATTAAGGCCGTTCTGAAGACAAAAGGGGGTCCAAGCTGTTTTAAAAAGTTGCATCTAATAAAAAGGCCAGTGAGTGTTATTACCTACCAAAGGATTTGTATTCCTTTTCAGCTGGTTGTGCAATTCAAACAGCTCCAAAGTACCCCACAGACACCATTAGTTCCTAATTTAGCTTTCTTGTTTTTTGGGTCACCTTCTATCCTAGCAGGTTGCAGGATTTATCACAGCACCAGATGACTCATCATTCATCTAGCGCAGGCTCGTCAGGGGGCCCACTGCAAGAACTCAAAAGAGTCAGCCGGGTCTTGATGACAAAGTAAACAAAGATTGCAGCACAGGATGTGCAGAGGAACAGCAGCAGGAGAGAAAAAGACAATGCAGGATTTGTTGGGCTTCTATATGTTTTTTCGAGATAAAAGACCATCAAACTTAAGTGACATATTGTGGATGAATTTAAAGGAGAACTATGAGGTGAGTGATTTTCACTCAACCTCATAGTTCGAGCCGACATGTGACAATGAAACTGTCACACGTTGACTCAATAGATCGGGAAGTGAGCGAACACATACCATCGCTCACTCACTTCTCGATCATCTCCCTGTCACTCACGGCTCCCTGCAGGGATTCCTCCCCTCCAGTGCTGAACGGACGGAGGAGGGGGCGGGTACAGCTGGCTCTGCCTCTAGATAGGCAGAGCCAGCTGTCAATCACGCAGGTGGGTGGATCTTGACAGTAATGTCGGGATCTGTCCCGGCTGCGGCGGTCTCAGTATACCGCTAGCTGTAGCTAGCGCTGTACTGAGCTTTGGGTCACGGGAGGACGCTAGTTTGTGTCCTCCTGTGACCCATAGTAGAACTATGGGGAAAAACACTTACCCCATAGTTCTCCTTTAATGGAAATGGGTGACACCCCTCTCTAATTCTTTCTGCGGCAGCTGCTCCTGGCCCCCACTAGAGGGAGCTAAAAGGGAGAGACTGCTTTGTGTTGGGATAACTGAGCAGAGCATCCCTTTACTTCCCTTCAGCTAGTAGTGGTGGTGGGTAGAGAAAGAAACATTCTGCTACTAGGATGAAACTGGAAGTTATCAGCAAAGCACATTCCCCCTGCAACTGATCTATTTATGCAGGCTGCTGAGACTAGCAAGACTAAAGGAAAACTACTAAGAGTGCTCATATCCTTCAATTGTGCTAGAGCTGTGTATTGTTTGTGACAAATGCAAATAAGTGCAAGAATTACACCAACTAAAATGATATGAATGTAAAAACACATAGTTTAATGGAACATACATACAAAGAATTATGCACCCACCTCTTAGCTTGTCGCAAAGCACTTGCAAACCAGTAGAGGCAAAATGAAGTTAAATATGACAATCAACGCATTTAAAAACATACAAAATGGTTAGAACAAATAAATGATTTTATGAAGAAAAAAAAAAAAATGAAAACCAAAACAGGTTAAAGCAAACAATGAGAGAAGACAATGAAGGTCTAGAAGCACACATGCAACAAACACTGCACACAGTAAATGGAGATTTAAAAAACACACCAACCTAACTGTATAGCATAGGAAAGAACACTTACCTCATTTTACACAGCTTAAAAGAGAGGTGCACTTAAAAACAAAGCCCCTTTAGGCTGTAGTCACTGATCCTCCCTCCTCACATAGAGATAAATACTTACCGAGTTCTGACAAGCTTGGCCTCGTTTGTTGACATCCTATGGTGGACCTCTTCCCCTCCTGCCTGCGCAGTACATCCCGTGTATGATTTCCCGTACATCCCATATATGACTTCTATAGGGCTCTACTACCACTAATGAAAGTCAGCTTTTGTAACAGCTTTATTCTTTCATTGTTTCAACTGAATATACAGCGCTAATAGCTCAATTAGTGAATATTTAAAACGAAATGCAAGTGTGTATACACAAACTAATCTTATATATCTAACAACAAGTGACATGTGAAACACAATGTTATAAAATTATTCCTATTTAGTATCAATAGAACCGTGACTGAAAACAAAATATCAAATCATTGTGCTATCATGTTTCAAAAATAAAATTTTCTTTGTATCCTTCACATTACGTCTAATGTGCGATAAATCACTGTGCAATCAACATATATGTGAACAAAAAAGTATTTGTGATAATTTGACTCCACTTCAACATAGGTGGTCGGTGGTTTAAATGGTGCTTTTCTGTGGTTTAGATTGTGCTTTTAAACCACAGAAAAGGGAAGCTGAAGGAAAGCTGAGAGGCACACAGAAAGCTCTGTGTGTGTGGCTGCTCAGACGCCTGTGGACTTGATCTATGACTTTTTTCTTTGCATGATTGGATGAACACTCTACACTTCGAAGATTGGTGGTGGTACAGTGCGAGTCAGTAAAGACGCCGCATCAGCGTGTTCCATCAGAAAAAACATTTGGGGCTGTCTGTTCCAGCCAAAAGATTGCGGTGAGTACGCACTTTGAAAGGGGGATGTGTTGATAACAATACAAACCACAGAAAAGCACCATTAAACCACCGAACGCTGGGAGGCTCGACCACCTATATTGAAGTGGAGCCAAATTATCACAGAGACTTTCTTGTTCTCACGTATATATTTATTGCACAGTGAT